CTGCCTGCCAGGCCCGGCCCGCCGCCCGCCAGCGCCCTCTAGCTTCCCGAGCTGCGCTCCCGGCTCCGCTCGGGCCTCGCTTCGGTCCCCACCCCTCTTTGGGCCAGGCCCGCACTCCTGGCCGCGACCAGTCTCCCGTCGGAACTCTCCAGCGGGTTTCTCCCTAGCGTCTCTCTCCCCGTGTACCGTTTCCCCGTCTCCCCTTCCAGTCTGACCTCACCTTTCCTCAGCTAAGTGGTTTGAGATCTCCAGTGTAAACAGGACTCTCCGGGGAGCCTGCTCCTGTCGGCCCCTCCCCTCGAAGCCGGACCGCCTCTTGCTTCTCTCCTAGGACAGCTACTGCCTATTTTCTCATTCCCTCTTTTCTTTCCATCCATATCCATTCCTTCCTCTATGGCCTTCAGCTTCCTTTTTTCTCCATAGCTCCTCTCTAACCTCTTCCCCCACAGTTAAACAATCTTGAGTCCCTAAAATCAGAAGCGGGCGGGAGCAGCGTTCGAAAAAGCCTCAGCTCAGCGGTTACATGGCCTTGCATGGAGTCGTCCTTGCTCCCATCAGCTCCTTTCCCTGGCCCCATCCTTTTGCTCTTGCCTCTCTTCCAGCCTTCCTCTAATTTCCCTGGGGAACCTGCTGAGCGTCGCTTGGGGAAATTAATTTGGCCAGAGCTTGGAGGGCTAGGTAACCTTGGGGGTGGGGGTTGCTGAGGAGGTCACAGAGGTCTCTTGGAGGCCTGCGAAGTGAAAAGGGGAATCGGTGGGATTAAAGGCAGTGGGAGAGAGGGGCTACATGTGAGATCTGACAAGGTGTTCCGTGTGGCCCTCCGGTGGGCTGTGCGGTGGCATGTGACTTCACTGAGTAGGTGTCTTTGTATGTCTGAAATCCAGTGAGTGTGTGGGACTGCCCGTGTCAGCTACATGTGTGCGTGTGGAGACGTAGATGTTCTGGAGCCATGTATTCTTTGTGAGTGCTGAGCGGCTCCACTGTGCTCTTGTGTTGTCTCAAGAGTGCCAGAATGTCCAAACACCAGGCCATGTGTCTCCGGGTCGCGTGGGCGCTCCTCTGTAGCTGTGTGTGAATTGGTGTCAGCCTGTGTCAGTGTGTGTGTGCTGTGTTGAGTAAATGAGGCCAGGCCAGGGAGCTGCTTAGCGCAAGACCTGGGTTACATACCGTCCTGGAAAAGGGATCATGGAAGGACAGTGACCAGAAGGACATGACAGGGAGGAGAGGGCCCAGCCCCTTGTACTTTGGTCTCTGGTAGTCTCTCCCTCCCTGGCACTTTCCCTCCCTCCCCCCATCAGTCCAGATGAGAAACTCAGGCCAGAGCCTCGCAGACCTGGTGCTGGGGCCCGGAGAGTAGCTGACTAACTCCTGGCTCTCCAGCCCCGGGATGGAGGGGGAAGCCCACCAACCAGTAGAAGTGCTATATCTGCCATGTGGCAAAGAAATGAGGACAACCAAGTGGCACGAATAAACGTAGCTAAGTGGGAGGGTCAAGCATTCTGTGTTCCCTTGAAAGAGAAAGGAATTGGGTGTCCCTTTAGGCCACCCATTGGCACCAACCCCCTCTCCTATCCCCAGTTTCGTTCCAGAATAGACATACTCTCCCAGAGTGATCTCACACAGAAAACTTCCATCTGCATGGAATCAGATACACAGAGTTGCACACCAGCACCAGATCGGATCACCTGGAGACACTGTTGCTTGGTGCCTGCCAAGGGTGGAGTGGGGAGAGGACTGGAATCGAAATTTGGAGGGCTGGTGCGTCCAGAGAGGGGACTCTCAGGAGCATCTCCCTCTGCCACATCAGAATAGGACATCAGGGTGTTACCTGCTGAGGTTTTGGGGTGAAGAAGAGAGGGACAGTGTAGAGTGAGGGTCTTCTCTTCTGGTTTTTTCACTATCTGTATTCCTGTCCCAGCCCAGACACAGACCTCTCCCACGCTCCCACTTTCTCTCTTCTATGTTTTATCCTGCTGGACCTGTATCCCCTGGAAGTGGTTACTTCTACCCTTCCACCACACCATGCACACTCCACAGACAGGTGGTAGGAAGGAGGAAACTACTTAAACTTTAAACTTTTTGCGGGGAGGGGGGAATGGGAAAAAGTGAGAGGGGGTGCCAGGAATCAGGCTAGGATCCTCTCCCTATTCCTGTGGTGTTTGCCCAAGTAGGGGCCTTGAGGATTCTGGAGACGCACAGACGGGAAAACAAAGGCTTGGGAAGCTGGGAGGGATGCCCAGGAGAGTACCAGGAAAAGGCCCCAGAGGTAGACAAAAGGCAGAGCAGGGCAGGCAGTGGAAGGGAGCAGACAAATGAGGTGAGGGACCCCTGAGGAGGGGGTGGAGCATCTGGGCTGGAGCAGATGGAGGGGATTTGCTTTGCTGAGCTGAACTCTTCAGGTGGTGAGGTTTAGAACTTGATGGAGATGGTGAGCAGTTACCTGGTCCACCTAGTCTCCCCTGAGTCTTGGAGAAGGTGTTTGGTCTTAGCCCTTAGGTGGCCTTAAGGACCCTGGGACCTCTGTTCTAACTCTAAGCTGCTGTGGCCACCTCCATTTCACAGTCCTCTAAGATCACTGCAGATCATATGTGGTGAGAGAAAGGTGACCTCTTTCTCTCTTGCAGGACCTGAAGGAGAAGAAGGAGAAGGTAGAGGAGAAGGCCAGCCGGAAAGAGCGAAAGAAAGAAGTAGTGGAGGTGCTGAGGGCGTCTGGCAGGCAGGGGGTTGTGACCACACCTGCTCACCATCCCAGCTTCAGTTACCTATAAGGGGCTGGGTCCCATCTTCCCTCTGACTCCTCCCATCCTCCCTGCCCCGTCCTTTGGGCCCTCCCAATGCCCCTTGCCATCAGTGGTGATGACAGGTGGAGGCAGATGGCCTTCTTGACACTGCTTCCTCTCCTGGTCCCCACAGGAGGAGGAGAACGGAGCTGAGGAGGAGGAAGAAGAAACTGCTGAGGATGGAGAGGAAGAGGATGAAGGGGAAGAAGAAGGTGGGGAAGGGCAGGGAGGCTGGGCTCCAAAGAACAGTCAGGGTGGGTTTGAAGACCTGAAGCAGGGTTGAGGGCGACCACAGGGGTTCTGCTGGAGCTTCCTCCTTCCCCAATGACCCATTTCTGGCTCCTCAGATGAGGAAGAAGAAGAAGATGACGATGAAGGGCCGGCGCTGAAGAGAGCTGCTGAAGAGGAGGTTTGGGCTGGGTTGCGGGGCCTGAGGGGCTGTCAGGGATGCAGCAGGGGCTGGGAGCCCTTTGGATTTGGACCCAGAGCCCTGTGGTGCATGGGAGGGGCCAGACCCGGGGAGGTCTGTCTCCCATTTGACAACTACCCCAACCCTTTTCCTCTCCACAGGATGAAGCTGATCCCAAGCGGCAGAAGACAGAAAATGGGGCATCAGCATGAGCCCCCTGCCAAAAGGGCTGGGGTGGGAAGCCCTTCCAGGGCCTGACGGTGGGGGCAGGAACAGACGAGTGCAGCCACTCTTCACCTGGCTCCTTGCTCTGGGCCCTGCATCAGAGCTGCCACCTTCTTTCTCCCCAGCCTTCTCATGTCCACCTCTCCAGACACTGCCCCTCCATCCTCACTCTGCCATCGTTCCACCTCCTGACCTGTTCCATCTGAGCTCTCCAGCTGGTCCCCAGTTCCCCTCTCCTTTTCCTTGCTCTCTTCCTCCCTTCATCTCCCCAGCCACTCCCCTCCTGGTAGCCTCTCTTTCCTAACCTCTGTATCCAAGCCTCCTATCCTGCCCGTCCCTACACTGCCTGATCCCTGGGTCTCCCTCAGATCCCCTTCTCTCAGACAGCGCCAGGCCGGGGTGGGGCCGGGGCCAGGGTTGGGACCGAGCCCCACAGCTGCCCCTCCTCACCTTTTTTGTATAATTTAATAAAGAAATGGTCGCGCTTCTGTTTTTAACCTGTCTCCTGCTTTCCCGGGGCAGAGGGAGGAGGGTGGCTACATTACGTTCTGCCAGGACCCTTTCCTTCTTTTAAAAATCACCACTTTACCACCCACTGCTCAAGAAGACAAGGTCAGCACTCCACCGGTAGACACGGAGTACAGCTTCTATGAGAGCTGATTGTTGGCTTTTGAGGGATGCTCCCCTGTAGCAATACACACTTCCCTACTAACCCACATTAGGTCTAGACACTGCTGAGCCCAGTGGAAAGCTACCAGCCCTATTGTGCTGAACCAGGCAAAGAAACAGCCTCAGAAACAGGAAGTCCCACCCCTGCAATGGGAGAGGGCCGAGAGGCCTGGGTCTCATTCTCCCAGAACCCAGAGTGAGAGTTGTCTGGCATCAGAACTGCTCCTCTGAACAAATGAGCTCCTGGTCAAGCAGGGGACAACTCTAGGGCCTCTCGTGGTTCCCAGGCTGGTTGCAAGTACTTGGCACCTGCCTGCCACCTTTCTTGGCCGGGTTGGGTGGGTAGCAAGAGTTCCTGACTGGCAGTGTCAGGCTTCTTTCCAACAGGTTTTCTAGAGTTTTATCTTGCAGGATTTCAGCGTTTCTCTGTCACTTTCCCTATCAGTTCAGAACCTCTGGATTGGGAGCAGCTGTTGAGTACACAGGGGTTTGAACTAGGGCAAGGTGTGTGTGACTCTGATTCTTCCCAAAAGACACCCATAAATCACCCAGGGTCGGGACCACACACACAGCTTTTGTCTTCACACACCGTAACTTTGACCTTGGCAAATTATTTAATCTCTGAGGCTGCCTCAGTTTCCTCATCTGTACAATGGAGATAACATCAGATTTCACGAGTTATTGTATGTAAAGTGTCCAATACAGTTCCTAGCACATAGTGAAGGTTCAACAAAACTTAGTTATTATTTTCCCTGGGCTTGCTTGGGATGCCATTCCCCAGACCTACATCTTTCAGGGTCCAGTAAAACTTTCTACCTTATGCCCAGGAGACATTGGATAGTGGAGGGGCAGGTCTACAGAGGTAGCGGAGTACTGGGAGGTTAAAGGAATGAGGGAAGGGATAAATACCAAAGAAAGGGCTGGCCAGGAAGAAAATGTGAATGCTGGAACTGACAAGGGAGGCAGCTTACAGATGGGCCAGCAACAAGTTCCAGGCAGAAATGGTTTGGAGAGAAGGGCAGAAGGTCCCAGGAAAAGGATCAGTCAGGGTGGTGAGGGAGGGTGTGGAGGGGGTGGTGGGGACACCCAGAACTGAGGAAATAAACAAGGGGAGTGCCACCACAGGGGTGGAGGGTGATGCTGCTGGGAATCAGCCCCCTCAGACTTTCCACTGCGAAGCGAAACCGTGAGCCCTGGGGTGTGTGGGGGGGCAACGGGGAGGGGAAGTGGGGAAGGTGGAGGGAAGGCAGAAGGACAGGGGCAAGGGCCCTGGGAGCAGCAGACCAGCCTCCTAGCTCAAGATAGCCGCTTTGCCTCCACTCAGCTCTGCCACTGCCCTGCCCCATTCCTTGGGACCCACCCCCACCCCTTCCCGGCTGCTTGATCTGGCCAGCTTTCCTCTGGATTCCAGCCTCTGGCCATTGGTTCCTCCCCTCCTTCTCCAGGCCTCTGTCCCTGTCCTTCTTCCTCTAGATTCCCTCCCTCCACCTCCCTCTTTGTAGAACCTCTCTTTCGTCTGGCCGTCTCTCCCCACTTTCTGACCTCTTCCCTTTGGAGGGCTCACTGTGGCCCAGGCCTAAGGGGAGATGGGGAAGGCTCAGTTCCTGGTCTTGCTGCTTCTGCAACTGCTGTGGGTGGCTTCAGGTAAGGTGGAAATGACTCTCTGGGAGGGCTGACCTCCGGAACCACAGGATGGGGTCAGCGGGGATCTCTGGATTGACCGTATAGATGCCAAGGTCCTTAGCTTGGGTGGAGTCTTCTTATGCCTTGCTTGGGACAGTCTTTCAGCCCCAAAGCCTCTCTTCAGGCTCTCCCTTGGCAGGGAAGGGGCAGAAACCCTGGTTTTCCTCAGGCTCCTTGACTACTCCTAAGTCATTTGGCTCATGGCCCCTCCCCTCAGCCTCTCACCCAGTGGAGGCTCCAAGGCCTGGGGCAGAGGTCTCGGTGGTGTGGGCCCAGGAGGGTGCTCCTGCCCAGCTCCCCTGCAGCCCCACAATCGCCCTCCAGTCTCCCAGCCTTCTGCGAACAGGAGGGATCACTTGGCGGCATCTACCAGACAGGTATGCACCTCAAACTTGGGAAACAGAACTCTCAAATCCAGCAGCAATGGCATCCAGATTCGCAGCCCAAGGCCCAGGCCAGCATCCTGTCTCTTCCCCTGATCTGTCAGTCCTTGTGAAGCCAGTGGCCAGCCTCCCCTGCCACTATGCACCCTAGGCCTTTCCTCCTCTGCATCACTACTGCGACTGCTCCCCTCATCCCTGCATCCTATAGGATGCTTGCCTCTCCAGCAGGGGATGGTGCTGGCGTAACACAAGGGGGAACAGGAACAGGGATGTTAGTGGTCAAGAGATCTTTCCTTTGGGTGGGCTTCCTCATCCTCAAAGTGAGGTGGGACTACATCTTCCCTGAGACTTCTTTCCCCTCAATGTCTTCATCTCATCTTTCTCTCCCGAGCCCAGCTGGCCCCTGGCCCATGGCCAGCGCCCCGCGGCGCCCTCCCCCTACACGGTGCTGAGGCTGACGCCCGGGGGCCTGCGCAGCGGGCGCCCGCCCCTGCAGCCCCGAGTGCAGCTGGAA